CAAAACTTCGCTTGGTCAAGGTCTCTCAGAAACTAGACCAACAGCCGGAGTCCCACTTCCAGAAGTCAAGCAAAGCAAAACCAGGACCTTTATACAGACCCTCCTACTGTTTAAGGAATTAGTGTGCCCTCTCCTTGCCCTGCCCCTTTTAAATGTACAGCCAAAAAGCATGGTAAGCAACCCATCTGCAAGTTACAGCCACTGGAGAGCATTCACGAAGCAGATCGTCCACAAAGAGCTTAGAGTCTGCTTGGGGAGACATGGCAAACACACAGGAAATAACCACAAAATGAGAAAAAAATGTCTAAGATGAGTCTTCACTACCTGATCTCAAATGTCACCATTTCCTCATTGGCCAAACTTCTTACCTTGCCAATCATGTTGGAGCAGACAAACACCAGGTAGCACCAGTCTGCTAGATGAAAATCCACCTTATGGTAGTTTTTCCAGAAACATTATACTGAGGGTTAGGAGGAGAGTAAGGTGCGCTGGTGGCAGAATAATGAAGCATTTGGCTACTAACCAAAAGGTTGGCAGTTCCAGTCCACCCAGAGACTCTGCAGGAGAAAAGACCTGGAGGTCTCCTTCCTTAAAGATTACAGCTTAGGAAATGTTAGGGGGCACTCTATCACATGGGGTCACTATGAGTTGCCATGAACTCAGTGTTATAACAGTGGAGGTGAGAATAGGGAGTAAGGCAAGGACTACTTGTGCAATTCAGTGCCACATTGTTTAATGCAGGCTGGAGCTAGGTAAAAATTACCTGAGTGAGGAAGCAAGCATTAGCAATTTTTCATGTCCCCCAGTTGTGCACATAGCTCTCTTTTGAGTAACTGAAGGGACATGGGACAGTGCCTTATAAGTTCAGTGAGAGTTATGAGCAAAGAAGGCAGGTCTAAATCAAGTGCAACCCTGAGGGTTTCTGCCAGGTTCTGGCTTGATGCTGTTTGCACCTGTCTGCCAACGCCCTAACATGCCAGACCCATTAGCCTTTCATCCCAGCCTATTTCACATTCCACCACCATACTAAATGCTTGAACAAAGCTACTCTTATTTAGTCCTCACCACCATTCTGTGGAGTAACCAGTTTGTCCCCATTCTGCAGATGTGGAGATAGATAGATACTCAGAGAGGCATCCCATGAGAGAGTGCTACCTGTTATGGGATCAAATTGCTAACAGCAACTTCAGAGGTTAGATAGGAACCTTACGGGGCAGCGAGTTTTATTAAGCAGGAGAAACAACTCAGAAAAGGAGAGTGGGAATGGTATACACAACTCAAGGAATGTAATCACTGTCAATTAATTGTACAGGTAGAAATTAGTTGAATTGGTGCACGTTGGCCTATCCAATACAAAGTTTCCATTCTGTTGACTATAAGGATTGGTTGAAAGATGGAGCCATGACTCATGTCTGATCCAGTGAGTTAGCACCTGAACCACTGAGAAAGAAGTGCTCTTTTAAAAGGTGCTGGGGTCATGACAGAAGGCCTGCCTGGCAGGAAAGCCAACACAGAGGGAAACCAATAGACTGCAGTGCTGATCAGGCCTGATTGAGCACCTGGATCCAGCAATGACTGAAATCAGGATTCACCTGTGCATATCAAGTTACATGACCCAATGAATTATGTTTGTTTGTTTTCTTAGAGTTTAGTTTCTGTAGCCTGCAACCAAAAGCACTGTGACTAATACAGAATTAACTGTCATTTTGTTATTGTTTTATTATACTTTTTATTGTTTTATTACACTTATAATCAAGTAGGGGTAAATGAGTTATGGTCAGCTGGTAAAAGATACCACTAGAGCTTTTCCTCTTTTATTACAAGGAAAAGCAGCTAAAGTCTGGGAAAGCTGTTTTCCTGAAGAGCCTTTGTTCAGCAGCACCCTCACTGGGTTTGGAGGTAGGAGCTGGAAAGGTTCTCTGCATAATAGAGGGTGGAGGGATTTGGAGGTGAGAAGATGGGTAATCTGAGAAGGAAAATGGTCAAAAGCAAAACAAGAGGACAAAGAGAATGGAGGGGAGGTAGGACGAGCTTGTCAAAGCTGAGATTGTTGAGCTCCATCCCAGAGTTTCAGCAAGTCTGATGGGGGACCCAAGAATTTGCATTTCTCACAAGTTCCCAAGTGATGCTGGTGTTGCTGGGCTGGAACCCAGACACTGAGAATCACCAATTTTGAAGATTATTGGAGAATTGGATGAAGGTGCCTTAGAGGAGAAATTATCCAGTGCTTGGTATTTCTGCTTCCCTGAAGTCCTCATTTCAAGAGACTTTCTGTCATTCCATCCCCCACCCCACCCCCGCCCATGGGTTTCAAAGCATTGGACAAGTGCAGGAGTGGAAATTGTAAGTGTACATGAGAAATGATATGCAATACTGAGAGGGCCCTAAACAATAAAAGATGGATCCTGTCCACAAAGGATTCTGGTAAAGAACCAGAGTAATGTACTGAGCAGTGACCTGAGCCAGGAAAAAAAAAAACACCTGGCTTCGTGGTAATGTCCATAGAAACCCATTAACTAGTACAAAATGACCCCATCCATCATAGATTTGACATGTTTTTTCCTGGGTCCCCTGCATGTATCCCTGCACGTAAACCTAAGTATATATACCCCCATCTCGAACTGCCCTGCAAAAACCTCTGCCTCAATGACTCACTACATTGCTGCCTGTCACGGGAATCTTGGCCGCAACCTCTGTCTATTTGATGAATATCAAATCTTTCAAGATGCTGTTAAGATAGTTCTTAGAAGAGCATAATGCTCAAGGCAGACATTATTTAACTAGTTAAGCTAAACTATTGTTTGGTTTTAAGAAGACTTTAGGCATATTTTTGGTTTAAGGTTTAAAGAGTATCTCAGGGCAATAGCTTCAGGAGTTCATCCAGCCCCTATGGCTGCTAAATTCTGAAGTCATTGAGAATTTGAAGTTCTGTTCTGTATTATCCCCAGAGGTGGACTTTGGATGTTATCTCTAATTGAAGTTGTAAGTACAGTCACAGGGACACTCTGCTTATAGAGACATTCATTGATAACATACTCCAGTTTGGTAGCCTTGTTTGGGTCTGTCTTCATTTTTAAAACAACAGAGGAGGGGATGCAAAATGTTACGTCACTTTGTCTAAGTGTTTGGCAGCATCTAATAGCAGTAAGGAGTTCTGGTGGCATGGTGGTTAAAGGTTGGTGTTTGTACTCTCTGGGAGAAAGATGAGGCAATCTGCTTCCGTAAAGATTTACAGCCTTGGAAAGCCTTTGGAGCAGTTCTACTCTGTCCTATAGGGTCACTATGAGTCAGAATCTACTTGATGGCAGTGGGTTGTTGTTGTTGTTGTTGTTGTTAATAGAAGTAAACATATACAACAAGTCCACTCCTAGATTTTTACCCAAGAGAAATATAGACTTGGGTCCACCAAAAAAAAAAATTGTGCCAGAATGTTCATCACAGCTTTATTCATTATACCAAAAAACAAACCCCTGCCATGAAGTCAGTTCCAACTCATAGCAACCCTATAGGACAGTGTAGAAATACCCCATAGGGTTTCCAAGGCTGTAAATCTTTATGGAAGCAGATTGCCTCATTTTTCTCATGCAGAGCAGCTGGTGGGTTTGAACAGGTGCCCTTCCAGTTAGCCTAGTGTTTAAACCACTGTGCCAGGAGGGCTCCTTTGAATTCATAGCAATGCCTCCCCCCTGCCAAAAAAATAAATAAATAAATAACAGCCTAGATATCCAACAACATGTGAGCAAATTGTGGTATTTTTGCACACTGAAATAATACTCAGCAATAAAAAGCAACTGTTTCAAGTTCTGAGGAGCAAGAATATCTCCTTGAGGACTAAGGTGTGCCTGACACAAGCCATGATATTTCCAATCGCCTGGTATGCATGTGAGAGCTGGACAATGAATAAGGAAGACCGAAGAAGAGTTGATGCTTTTGAGTTGTGGTGCTGGCAAAGAATGCTGAAAGTACCGTGGACTGCTAAAAGAACTAACAGATCTGTCCTGGAGGAAGTGCAGCCAGAATGCTCCTTGGAAGCAAGAATGGCCAGACTTCGTCTCACCTATTTTGGTCATGTTGTAAGAAGGGACCATTCCCTGGAGAAGGATGTCATGCTTGGTAGGGTGGAGGGTCCACGAAAGAGGGGGAGGCCTTCAGGGAGATGGATTGATACAGTGGCTGAGATGATGGGCTCGAGTATAGCATGGATTGTGGGGCTGGCACGGGATCGGGCAGTGTTTCGTTCTGCTGTGTATGGGGTCGCTGTGAGTCGGAAACGACTCGACGGCACTTAACAACAACAACAAATACTAATATGAACTACTGATATGCTCAACAAGATGAATCTCAAATGCCTTGTGTAGATTGAAAGAAACCAGAAAGAAAATAAAACATTCAATATGATTCCAAGTATATGAAGCCCAAGAAAAGGCAAAACTAATCTATAGTGACAGAAACCAGAATAGTGGTTCTCCGACGTTGGGAGCTTGAGGGGTGGAAAAGGAAGTAGACTGCGTATGGACATGGGGGAGATTTTTGGGGTGATGAGCATGTTCTATTTGTTGATTTGAGTGGGGATTACACAGGTGTATAAAAATTAATGAAGCTGAAAACATCGTTTGTGCATTTTACTGTATAAAGTTATATACCTCAATAAAATACTCTTAGCACACGTCCGCAGTCGCACCCACCAAGATCCCAGGAGGCTCAGAACCAGCTGTTGCCCGGGCCTTGCCCACTTCTGAGAGGCCACGGCCCAAGACGTCCGGTTTCCTCCCCACTCCAGTCCAACTTCTGCGCCTCTCCGAGGGCCGGGACTGCCGCTACCTTTCCGGAAAGCTCCGGACCAGCCCTCCCCGGCTCGGTTCCGCCACCGCCGGATCCCTGCCTCCGGCGCTGGGGCCGGGACTGTGCGCTCCGCCCCTCCTCTCCTTGCCCCGCCCCGCCCCGCCCCTTCCCTCCTTATCTGGCCCCTTCGCCGCTACCCCGGGAGGCAGCCGGCGGGCTGTGGCCGCGCTATGTCGCACGGACCCGGGCTCGTCCGCACCACGTGCAGTAGCAGCAGCAACGCGTTCGGACCGGGGCCCGACGCGGGGCAATCCAGCGCGAGCCCCTCGGAGGAGCTGCTGGACACCAACTATCCCCGCACTCTCGCGGCCCTGTTGAAAGTGGCGCAAATGGTAAGAGAGGGCAGGGCCGGGATTGGGGTCACACGGAGTTGCCCGGGAAGGAAGGGACCTCCGAAAGTGGACGCGCCAGACAGCTGGACCCAGCGGAGCGCCCCGGAGCATCGCGCAGCGGGCGGGGCGGGAGATCGAGTCGCCAGAACTTAAGTTCGAGGAAGGCTTCCTCCGGGAAAGTTGAGGTTGCACCCCCGCTTTGGAACTCAGCCCCACCCCTGGCCCTTGCTCCCCCAAGTCCAGGTCTCTAGTCACCCCTCTGCAGGGCCTGGTCGGCCAACTGACAGAAACCACCGGCAAAAGTTCCTTTTCGTCTTCCTTTCTCTTCTGGGCCCCGCCTCTTCGAACCCGAGCCGGGGGTGGAAGAGTCGCCCGGGTGGAGGCGCTGAAACAGCGAAACTCGACCTCCCTGTCCGCGGCCTCCTCTTTCCTCTGAACAGAGAGCGGCAGGGCTTCTTTACCCTGTGTGCAATTTCGCCGCAGGGACGTATTCTGAAGGTCCCCCATTCCATGGCGAGGGATAAGTAGTGGTACCCCTGGGGCAGCTGTCTTGGTGTCCTACGCTTTCAAGTTCCAAGGGAGGACCCAGCACAGGGGGCGTGTTTTGCCCCTGGCTATTAGATGATCAATGGGGAAGGCCCGTTCTGAGGGGCTGGTACTTACTTGCCGGGGGAGCCTAAGTGTCACCTGTGGAGTCAGGCAGGATGAAGGTTATGAGTGTGGCAAGCGTAGGTTGTGGCCTCCACCAGGGCTCACGCTGTCGGCCTCTTCTGGCTGTTCCTCGCTCTTTCCTTTTTTTTTTTTTCTCTTTAAAAGTTTTAAATCTTAGACGTCTTTTCAGTTTGGATGAAGTGTCTTGAAAATGGGTTGGGCTTTTTGTGACTTTTCACTTACTGAAATGCTGGCAACAAGAATGGTGGAGGCGAAAGTGTAGTTTGTGGAAAAGGGTATGGGGAGAAGAGTGAGAGGATAGGCATAAGGTCCCAGACCCAGAACCTAGGCCCTGCTAAAGTGGACACAGGGCTGGACACAGGGTCAGAGCTGCCTGTGTATCTGGCTGGCACTGTTACTCCAGGTGCTGGGTGTGGGTTATGGGGTGTGGTACTTAAGTTTCTGTGTCAACTTGACTGGGCCTGGTTGAGTGGCTGGGCAGCTGGTGGTAGTTATTCCCCATGATGAGACTGACACTCAGCTCCATGGTGGACTCTACTATGAGCAGCAGCTGAGTAGCTGCTTTGGGTAGGTGAGCTGCTTCCCATATATAAAGAAGCAGCTTTGGGAATGGTCTCTAGCTTAAGGCACGCTTGAACCCTACATGTAGTTGTGTTGCTGTTCAGCAGCCTGCCGTGCTCTGCCGACCTTGGAACTTTCAATGGACTTGAATTGATGGCCTGCCATGTGGTTTGGTAACATCAGGACTATGACATTTTATTTGTCAACCTTGGACTTGTTAGCCTCAGCAGCCAGTAGTCGCTTGAGTGAAAAGATGCCTCTAGTTTCAGTGGGCCAGGACCAAGAGGCAGAGCTGAAGCCCAAGGTCGAGGGGCTTTCACCCAGCCCCTAGAGCCTGGCACTTTGAACTCAGATTTCTAGCCTCCCAAACTGTTTGTTCAAGCCATCCCATTTGTAGTATATTCTTGGCAGAGTGGTACTAGGTTACCAGAATAAGAGAGCTCTCATTTCCTGCTTGGGACAAACCTGAAGGGAAGGAAGGGACATCTCTGTTGTTGGTTACTATTGAGTCAGCTCAGACATGGCAACCCTGTGTACAACAGAATGAAACGTTGCCTGGTACTGTGACATCTTCATTATCGTTGGTATGCTTAGGTATATTGTGGCAGCCACTATGCATTTTGAGTGCCTTCCAGCCTCAAAAATCTTCAGCACTTTACCTGACAACATTGTTGTTGTTGTTGTTGTTATGTGCCGTCGAGTCGGCCCCGACTCATAGCGACCCCTCCTTGGGTTTCCGAGGCAGTATCACTACGGAAGTAGGATTGCCCAACCTTCCTTCCGAGGAGTGGCTGGTGGGTTTGAACCACCAGCCTTCTGGTTAGCAGTCAAGTGCCTTAGGCACTATGCTACCAGGGCTGCATTATTGTGGTCCATAGTGTTTTCATTGGCCAATTTTCAGAAGTAGATTACCAGGCCTTTCTTCCTAGTCTGTCTTAATCTGGAAACTCCACTGAAACTAGCTCATATCATGGATGACCCTGCTGGGATTTGAAATACCAGTGGTATAGCTTCCAGCAAGGTGCTCTGGTGGTGCAGTGGTTAAGGCATTCGACCTAACCAAAAGGTGGGCAGTTTGAGCCCACCAGCCGCTCAGCAGGAGAAAGACGAGGTAGTCTGCTTCTATAAAGATTTACAGCTGTGGAAACCTTATGGGGACAGTTCTGCTGTCCTGCAGGGTTGCTATAAGTCAGAATCGGTTCAACAGCAGTGGGTTTGGTTTGGGTTTGTATAGCTTCCAGCATCATAGCAACGTGAAAGCTGTCACAGTATGACAAACAGACGGGTGGTGAAAGGAGGACTAAAAATTAGGAAGTACCTAAAAAACAAAAAAAAATTAGTGCTGAACAGTGTTGAGTTGGAGCAGAACAGTTTTTGGACGAGACAAGGAGGTTTTATCAGTTAAATAGAGGAAACCAGTCCACATGCTCATCCTTAGAAGATGAGTTGGGGTGAGACAGGCCTTACCTTAGCATTGGAAGACATATGAGTCTAAGGATGAGTTTTAGTGGACAAAGGTAATAGGGATGAGAAGCCTCCATTTGGTTCATGAATTTGATGGACAAGAGTAGTGGAGAAAAGAAACCTCCATCTCCGGTTTTAAGTTTCTCAACTAGCCCTGTGGCCCTTGTGCCAAATGGTGAGTGGCAATGATTGGACCTATTCAAAAGAGGAAATCAGAGACTTAGAGAATTGCTTTGTCTGTCTGTTTCTCCTCCCTTCCCCTCTTAAAACCAAGCTCATAGGATACTTCTTCCTTCTCTGGAGAACTCCCTGCAACTGCAAGCTGTTTTGAACAGATGCCCTGGGAGTGAAGTTGGCCTTATAGGGTGGTCATATTATAGCAGACAGATGACTTGGGGTTATGTCCTTGGGCCTTTTGTCTGCCTCTTCCCTATTCTACCTTTTCTTCCTCTTTTCTGGGGTGCCTGCCTGGATACTTGCTATTCACTTGTCCTGTTTGCTAGGAAACACATAGTCAAGTTCTAGTGTTGGAGAAGGACTGTTATTGCTGTTAGGTGTTGCCAATTCAATTTCAACTCATAACGACCCCGTATGACAGCGTAGAACTGCCCCGTGGGTTTTCTAGGCTTTAGTCTTTATGGGAGCATATCACTAGGTCTTCTTGCCGTGGAGTGGCTGCATGAGTTCAGGCTACCAATCTTCTGGTTAGCAGCCAAGTGCTTACCTGTTGTGTCACTATTACTCCTTTGGGGAAGGGCTAAGGGCAGAAGCAGCCAAAAAGGTATTACCTGGGCACTCTATTTATGGATCTGTCATTTTGACTGTTGATATCTCAGTCACATACTAAACGGGCTGACTCTTTTGTCCTTGATGTCCCATGAAATATTTTCATCCTGGTTCTGACAAATGGGCTGTCAACATATCACCTGAAGAAATCATTGAAAAGGCTGTTCTTTTAGAGAAGAGCTTCCCTTGCTTTGGGCCTCTTCCTGGGTCTACCACTACTAGAAAATGAGACTGTGACAAAAAGAGGAAGAAAGTGAGTTTCTCAGTGAGTATTAGTAATTGAAATATCATTTTAATCACTCCTTATAATTCTCTGGCCACAATGGTGTAGTTTCTTTAGTTGACTTAATTAGAATAGAGAGACAGTCATGGTTCTTGGACTTACTACAATAGTGCACTGCCGTCGAGTCAGATCCGACTCCTAAAGACCCCTCCTTGGGTTTCCGAGGCAGTATCACTATGGAAGTAACTTCCTTCCCAGGAGTGGTTGGTGGGTTTGAACCGCCAGCCTTCTGGTTAGCAGTCAAATGCCTTAAGCACTACACCACTAGAGCTCCTGCTTGGACTTACGGGAGGTTTTTTTTTTATCTTTTAATAGCTACTTTTTTTTTTTTTTGGAGCCCTACTATTGTTCTTGGCTATATGCTAAAGATCATTAAATATTTTTAAGAATCCAGTAAAGACTTCTGGTAAGATGGAGGAATAGGCAGACAAGGGACAGACTCTCTTCAACAAAGAAAAAGAAAAACCAATTGACAGAGATACAGAAGATAATCCTGGAACCCTGAGCTTTGAAAGGAACTATACAGAAGTGGCTTAGGCACCAACTAGTGGAAAAACCTGAATGAAAACAGTACAGAGATGGTTGGAGCCGTGGACCTGAGAATTGACCTAAATATCAGCCCTGGTCACCAAGGGCTACAGGGACGACTGCGCTGGTGGCCTATGATTAGGAAGGGAAATGGCAAGGAGGGAGACAAACTGAACCATTGACTTTCTGCTGTCTGGAAGGTGTAGCCCTTTTGAGTGTTTACATGCAGCAGCCATTTTGGATAATTAAAGTGACCGAGGGTGCAGCCATATTGGGTATTTAAAGTGACCAAGGATGCATCATTTTGATTGTTTATAAGTGGTGGCCATTTTGGATATTTACAGTGACCAAGGGCATAGCCATTTTGAACGTTTACAAGTGGAAGCCATTTTGGAGATTTAAAGTGACTGAGGATGCAGCTATTTTGAACCTTTACAAGTAGCAGCCATTTTGGATTTTAAAGTGACAGCATTCTCATTCGGATTCCAGGGCCCTAAGAATAGACTCTGTTTGCCAAGATCGGCAGGGACATACGAGAGGCTGACAACAGGAAAGGAGACAGGTGGTGAATGTATAAGTGCTGTCAACTAGTGAATAGAGGAGCACGGCACAGTACCCTGCCTGCGTAGATAACATAAAAACAAAACGAAAATCGTCGGCAAGTCACTCCAACATAAAATCATCAATTAAATATAAACACAAAAAT